GATCATAAGAAAGGTGGAGTTGTTACCAGGACAGAGAGTGACAGGACAAGGGGTAGCGGGTTTAAACATAAAGAGGCAGATGGAGATGGGACAGCAGGAAGGAATTCTTCCCGGAGGGGGTGGGGAGCACTGGGACAGGTTGCCCAGAGAAGCTGTGGATGCCCCATCCCTGGGAGTGTCCAAGGCCAGGCAGGATGAGGCTTGGAGCAACCTGGTCTAGTGGAAGGTGTCCCTGCCCATGGCAAGGGATGGCACTGCGGGGGCTTTGAGGTCCCTTCCCACCCAAACCGTTCTGTGACATGCTGCGCAGGTCCCTCCCTGCACTCAGAACTGCCCAGTGCACGAGTCCTGACAGAACTCACCCCTTTGTTTTGAATCGTGGCACTGGAATATCGGTCTGACTGTTACTGGAAATGCCAACACGGCAGAAGCAATGTGGGCTCCGTATCTGCAGAGCTCAGCGGGGGCAAGTGGGGGGCAAGCTGGGGGGAGCTTTTCAGTGGCTGCTGTTCTGGGTTAAGGCTGTTCCATTCCTCTTTCCCGGAAGCCAGTTTCCCAAAGGTAAATCAGTAGTGGGAGGTGTCTGGATAGAGAATAAGGTTTATAATATGGGAAGGAAATAAGCCGTTTATGCCAAGTTAACGTGGGCTCAGCAACAGGGGCAAGAGCAGAGCCAAGGACGGCCAAGGAACAGCAGCTCCAGAGTACACAGAGGCGGCCATGGGCATACTGCTGTGTTCAGAGATGTCCCGCTGTGCCTTCCCTTCAGCCACCTGGGAAACGAAAGGAGGAGTGAAGCCCAGTTAGACACGTTTATGCTCACGCGCCTGGCTGCAGAGCCTCCAGTCCTGGGCACTAGCGCGGGACTACGGGGAACTCCACGGCCAGACAGCACAGCCTCCTGCTTCTGCTTCTCTGTGGAAGGAGCAGCTGGAGGTGGAGTGGTCCTGGGTTCTGCCTGCACGTGGCATCCCTCGCTTTGTCTGGAATCTCACATTTCCAGTTCCGAGGTTTTTCAGCTCCTCTCTCTAGGCCACCTCCCCGCTGCTTTGCGGAGGCAACAAAGCGATGCCTACCTGGGCCACCTCTGAAGCCAGAGATGTGCTGGCGCTGTCACCTTGGAAGCTCAGGGAGGATGAATAGAACACATCTTCCTGCCTTTCCAGAGCTGGCTGCTTCGGGTGCATTTGGGACCAAATGGTGTTTTCTGCAAATAGAAGTAAAAAGAGTCTTACTGTGCTTGTCTTGTGCACACCGTGGGGTCTGGTGGGCGGGTCTAGGGAGGAGATTTTAGGAGAAACGCTCACGGGTGGGATGGCTTGGATTTGGAAAACACGTGTTCTCTGTTGAGTGAGTGGCCTGCGAGGTTGTGGGTTGACGTGCGAGGCTGAGCAGACTGCAAAGCCAACCTGCACCGGTCCTGGACCTCTGGGACCTGCCCTGCTGTCCGCTTTGTAGGAGGCAGGCACGTAGTATCTCAGAAAGATGGTCGGGTTGTAGGTGTGTCTGTAGCACTGGTGTAAGGCTTTTCTACACCGCAGGAGGTAGGTTTAAATATTAATCATTTATCTACTGATGTTGGTTTCTTTGATACCCTTTGGAAGCTTTTACAAGCATAAAATATTTAAATATTATTAAGGTCTGTTGCTGAAACGCTAGGGAGACAGAATAAATACAGACCTGGGATTCCATGGTTGCATGCAGCATGACTTTTGTGACTGCACTGCTCCTGAGTCTGTAAACAGGGTCTGTCAGGAGCTGCTGACCTCGACCAAGGAAGTGAGTGCCCGTGAGCAAAGGGAAGAAGGGGAAGGAGGGCAGCCCAAACCCCAGAGCCGTGGTGCACTGACGTGGTTACTCAGCAGCCTGTGGGTACAGCATGCCTGACCTCCCTTTGGGGGTTTCTGCAACCCCCCCATGTGAATGCTGATCGAAAATGGCTTCGTGATGTTTGCAGTGAGCCAAAGTGTTGCCAAAGATACAGAAACACTTCCGAGAGCAGATCCAGGCTGTCCCATGGGTTGGGTACATCATGGAGACGCTGCAGAGGCACAACTACATGCAAGAGCGATGCAACGTAGGATCTTGTGGTGAAGAGGGTTTAAATTTCCCCGAGCTGGGCTGCTGGGGCCGGACGCTTACCCAGGCATTTGTTGCTCTCAAACATGCCGAGTATCTGGTCGCACTTCTCCTTCTGGTTGCCGCTGCTCTCGCACGTGCACCACAGGGACACCTCCACACTGGAGTTGCTGATGTAGTTGGGTGTCATGGGCGTGCCTGTCCCAAACCCCCAAAGTGGAATCAGGATTCAGTTCACCAGAGGGAAGAAGCATCGCGAGCCGTGTTGTACCGGAGGGAACGGGGCCTTGGCGGCGGGAGCCTCCCTCTGCGATAGGCACGTTACGCAGGAGCGGGCAGGAGCCCCTGCGGGGCGTCCCAGGCTGCCGGGCTGTGCGAGCGGGGAGGGCTGCCCCTGACTGCGGCGCTCGGTGAGGGGCTGTGCTGGGAACCGAGGCCATGCGAGCACGGGCTTGAAGGATGCAAAGCATCCGCCGGGACCCAGCTGCAG